AACGGGAATCCCAACCTGGAATGTTTCACTGCCAAACACGGAGAACGGCTTCCGCTCTGTATAGATCAATTCAACCTCCGCTCCCTTTTCCACACCATCCATGGCAAACAGGTATTGTGGCGTACCCTGCTCGCTCTTGATGTTTTTGATGGCATCGGCACTCACGTCCAGTACCTTCCCGCCGGGCAGGATGGTCCGCGCTTTCAGGGTGACCATCTTGCGGTCTTTCCCAATGGGGATCGTGAATTTATTAAAGCTTTCCACCCCCTTGTCATCCAGCAGATGTATCAGGCGGTGCACCGTACGGTACACATAAAATGTTTTGTCCGACTCCTGCTTGTACTCCATGCGGCGCTCATCTTTTACGATAATGGCGGAGTGTTTTTTCCATTGATCAGGTATGGGGCGTATCACCGGTTTGGCCTCCCAGTTGACCGGGAACTGCATTTGCGCACCTGCGCGGTGTACCGGCAAGAGCAAACTGATGATCACTGCCGCTGATAACAACAACGGGTAAGAGTGGGTTTTAGCAAATAGCCTGTTCATAAGATCATTGTTTAAAATTCAGCTTTCCGGATGGCAATGACTCCAGCCGTTATTTTTCTGTCTTGGTGAGTACGATGGATTCCTTATATTCTTTCTGCAGATCTGCCACCATACGGTTATGATCTTTAAACTGGTCGGGCGTGATGTTTAGTGTATACAGCTCATATTCCTTTACCAGCTTTACCTGTTTGCCCAGCTGCTGGTAAGAGAGTTTATAACGCCAAAGGCCCGGCACTTTACTTTCCTTATCGGCCGGTACATAGGTCACTTTATAGCCCTGCGGAATATCCATCACCACTACTTCCCGCACCTTGTTTTTGTAACTGAATACGATGGGCACTTTGCGCTCGGCAATATCTACATGCTCATCTTCATAGGTGCGTTGCAGGTTCAGGTTTACATACCATTCCTTGTCGATATTGCTGGCATAATCGCCTAGTGTAAATTCCGAATAAAGCCGCAGGTTCTTCCAGGAGTTGCTGTCTACCTTATAGTCAAATCTGGTTTGCAGGTACTTGTTGGAGCCTCGCCGGGTAAGCCCAAGCAATGCATCTTTCAGCTCATTTCCGTTACGGTATTGCAGCATACCGGCAATGCCCCAGGCCCCATATCCCTGGTAGCCCACATCAACCGAACCTTTAATCATATTGCCATCGAGCTTTACGTGGGTAGAATCGGTGATGAGGTTGGCGGTATTATCCATCTCCGGCACTTTGATCACCTTAAAGTTTT